AAATAAGTTGTGCTGTTATGTCACAGCAAACTTATAATCATTTTGACCCAAAATGCTTGCTTCATCAGAGTCCCTGTTAAAAAAAAAAAAAAAAAAAAAAAGGCTCTGTGGGGTCAAAGTGCTGACAATGATTTAAAGAATTCCCTGCAGTTAGATATTTATATTGATTAAATAATTTGAAGTCAATGATGGAATAAAGCTAACTCTATCACTGATATCTATATCAGCTTTCCATTCTATTCCAAGACATTGAAAGTGCAGAGTCTTGCTGGGCTGTCTCACACCTGCAATCCCAGCAATTTGGGAGGCTCAGGTGGGAGGACCACTTGAGCCCAGGAGTTCGAGGCTGCTGTAAACTAGAATTGTGCCATTGCACTCCAGACTGGGCCCCAGAGTGACACCCTCTCTCTTAAAACAAAAGTTTGGTGTCAGAGACATATTGACTCACTAGTGTAGCTTCAAATACATTACAAAATCAGACACAAAATATCTCCCCTAGTTTGCCTCCTTTTCCAGAATTTACCAGATACCAATGAACATTAACGTATGACTTTTTTTTTTTTTTTTTTTTTTTTTTTTGAGAGGAAGTTTCGCTCTGTCGCCCAGGCTGGAGTGCAGTGGCATGATCTCAGCTCACTGCAAGATCTGCCTCGCAAGGTCATGCCATTCTCCTGCCTCAGCCTCCTGAGTAGATGGGATGACAGGCACCCGCCACCACGTCTGGCTAATTTTTTTGTATTTTTAGTAGAGAGGGGGTTTCACCGTGTTAGCCAGGATGGTCTCAATCTGCTGACCACGTGATCTGCCTTCCTAGGCCTCCCAAAGTGCTGGGATTACAGGCGTGAGCCACTGCACCTGTCGATGTATGACTTTCATATACAGTTTCTCTAATATGGTCCAGAAAGAGCTAAATGTGCATCCAGATGTGGGCTCTGAACAATCCCTGCTGCCCAACATCACTGACAGCACGGGGTCAACAGCCCATCTCCATCCATGTCTGGTGTGAGCCCTTCCCAGGGCCACGCCTAGTGGAGCCTCTTCCCAAGCTCATGTCACTAGTTTATAGGAGATAGAATTTAAGTGAAGATGAGAGGGACAGAGAAAAGGCATGGGTGAGTGCGAGCAAACGTGTGAGGTAGAACGCTTCACACTCAGAGAAGATTGGCTACTACAATACCTGGCACTTCAGAAAGCAGATAGAAGAATCCACTGAGGAATATCACTCACCTGAGGAAGAGCCATCCCTGGATACTTTTCTTTGCTCTTCTTGGTGGCTTCCTCATGTAACATGAGGCTTTGGAAATCCTGTATGTGAAAAAAAAATAAGAGATTTAATATTTAGAAACCATTCACTCCTTTCTTGTGACAAAACACACACATGGGGGAGACCTCACCCGAGAGAAAGATGGTCCTCTGCTGCCCACTGCACCAGAGATCATGCAGAGATAAGAAAGTGGCACAGGAGGACATACAAGGGTAATTTTGACCCGTTTTCAGATCTTGCTCCCTCCTGGAAAAGTCCACACACACACGCTGCAGCAGGACACAGACCTTCAGGCCACAGATCTGCCCTAACCAAACCCCATGCAGAGCACAGCCCCCTCACCTCCCTGTGGATCACAGGCTGATCTCAGCTCTCAACATGGAGGAAACTGCCTTGACGTTTAATGCTGGACACAGACGAGGACCACCAGCGCCATTGTAAGTATTATTGAGTGTGGGTCCCATCCTATGATAATAGCAATCTTTGATAAAACAAAATGCCAGTAATCCCAGCACTTTGAGAGGCCGATGCAGCTGGATCCCTTGAGCCCTGGGGTTGGAGACCAGCCTGAGCAACATGGTGAAAACCCATCTCTACCAAGAACACAAAAATTAGCGTGGTGCAGTGGTGCGCGGCTGTGGTCCCAGCTATTCTGGAGGCTGAGGTAGGAAGGAAACCACCACTTCTCCTGCTGCCCTCCTCCCTCCCCCTTGCCTGGTTCATAAGACAGGAGGAAATGAAGAAAGCAAAAAGTCAGAAAGAAACAGAAGTAAGATAAATAGCCAGACAACCTTGGCGCCACCACCCAGCTCCAGTGGTTAAAAATAATAATAATAAGGCCAGGCGTGGTGGCTCAAGCCTGTAACCCCAGCACTTTGGGAGGCCGAGATGGGCGGATCACGAGGTCAGGAGTTCGAGACCATCCTGGCTAACACGGTGAAACCCCGTCTCTACTAAAAAATACAAAAAGCTAGCTGGGCGAGGTGGCTGGCGCCTGTAGTCCCAGCTACTCAGGAGGCTGAGGCAGGAGAATGGCGTAAACCCGGGAGGCAGAGCTTGCAGTGAGCTGAGATCTGGCCACCGCACTCCAGCCCAGGTGACAGGCGAGACTCCATCTCAAAAAATAAAAAATAAAAAATAATAATAATAATAATATCAACCCCCGACCTAAACTACTTATGTTACCTGTAAACTCTAGACATTGTATGAAGAAGCACTGCAAAACTTTCTGTTCTGTTAGCTGATGCATGTAGACCCCAGTCACGTTCCCCACGCTTGCTACATCTATCACGACCCTTTCATGTGGACCCCTTAGAATTGTAAGCCCCTAAAAGGGCCAGGAATTCCTTTTTTGGGGAGGTCGGTTCTTGAGACGCGAGTCCACCAATGCTATGGGCCAAATAAAGCCACTTTCTTCTTCAACCCATTGTCTGAGAGGTATTGTCTGTGGTTCATCATGCCACATTTATTGGTTCCCTGACTGAGAAGCCAGGTGATTAACAGAAGGTCAAGGCAGCCCCTTAGGCGGCTTAGGGCTGCCCTGTGGAGCATCCCTGTGGGGTACTCCAGCCAGCTTGAGCAACATGGATTCTGAGAGCACTCCTGGGTAGGCATGTGCCCCAGAAAGATACCTAGCCTGGCCGTCCGAACTTGCAGCGCAACCAGTGTGCTTATTGTAAAGCAATAGGATATAAGAAGGATATTAGAAGGACAAGTGCCCTCAGCTAAAAGGAAAACAAGGTGGCTCAGAGCAGGAGGCCCCAGAAGGAGGCCTGTGCGATATAGCAGAAGAGTTACTGAACTGAGGAGGACCGGGTTCAAGTGCCCCCAAAGAGCCCATGGTCACGATGACAGGGGCAAAGACATTGATTTTCTTATCAATACCGGTGCTGAACATTCAGTAGTAACCACCTCGGTTGCCCCCTTATCCAAAAAGACTATTGATATAATCGGAGCCATGGGAGTTTCAGCAAAGCAAGCTTTCTGCTTGCCCCAGACTTGTACTGTAGGAGGACATAAAGTGATTCACCAGTTCTTGTACATGCCTGACTACTCCTTGCCCTTGCTAGGAAAGGACTTACTTAGCAAGCTGAGCGCCACCATCTCTTCTACAGAGCACGGCTCTTTACAGCTGAGGTTACCCGGAACGGGAGTCATTATGCCCCGTTACGGTCCCCTGGGAGGAGGAATGGAGACTTTTCTTAACTGACCCAGGCCAAGAGATAAGACCAACTCTGGGCCGGGCGCGGTGGCTCAAGCCTGT